GTTTGAACCTACCAGAGTGAGGGTATCTCAGGACATCTGGCAGCCTTGCATCATGCTGGATCCCCCAGGGCTGTGTCTTTGGTGTCACATCAAACAAGCACCAGGCATGGCTTGGCACCTGTAGCTCAGTGTTTAGGGGTCCTCACTTAGGAGCACAGTCACTCTGCTATCACAGAGGTCACCTGCTGGCCCCAGGGGCTCTAGGTGCCCTATCATGGGTTTGAGTCGGGAGGCAGGTGCCAGCAGTCAGGGCTCCCAAAGGTCTCACATGCGTGCCAGGGCACAACTGAGTGGTAACAGTGGCCCACTTTCCAGGACATGTCTTCCCAGAATTCAAGGAAAGCGATGCCATGTTTGCTGCTGAGAGGGTGAGTGTTGTGGTGGGCTAGGGGACGTCAGGTCTAGCTGTTCTGAGGAAGCAAGAAGGGAAGCCCTGGGGATCTGGCATGTTGGGGTAGTGGTCTCTCTGAATGGAGTGTCTGACACTTATTGAGTAGCAGCTGCAGGTCCACAGGTCAAGGTGGACACACAGCCCAAGGTGCCTTTGGGCTATGGCTAGTGGGTTCCAACAATTAAACATTTACATGCCCCCTAAACCATGGGAAGTGGAAAGGGTAATAATACCTTGGACAGGAGAGGAAGTGTGGTGAAGGTTCTTTCTCAGATCTGAACAGCTAGATCCTGGGAGCCACACAGTTGGGCCACTGGGGAGGGCTGGGCCTGGGACAGCATCTGTTCCCCGTGCTAGGATCTCCTGGGTGTTACTCCCATCTGTAGGATATAGGAGGAGGTCTGGAGCTGGGTATTGGGGGTGGGGCCGAGCAGTCCTGACTCTGCCCACCCCCAGGCCCCGGACTGGGTGGACGCTGAGGAATGCCACCGGTGCAGAGTGCAGTTTGGGGTGGTCACCCGCAAGGTGAGTATCCTCCCTAGGGGTGGGGGTGCTACTCTGTGGGCCAGCTCCTGCCACCATCACACAGCTGGGCAGACGCTTAGTCCCCTCCTGTCACTGAGGCCACGTAACCCTCTGCCTGGTCCCGCCCCTTTTTGGTGGTTCATGAAGCAAATCTTCCAACCCTGTGATATGGCATTATAACTCCAGATTCCGTGTTGGTGATGGTCAGTGCCCTCACCTGAAGTCGCCCTGATAGCACTGCCTTCGGTGGTGTCTAGCCTCACTCCAGGGATTGTGATATTCCAAACATGGGCTCAAGGTCCTTGCCAGAGTCCCTCTTGTGTGTTGCCATGGCCAAGTGACCTGCTTCTTCGGGGATTTTGTTTGACTTGACTCTGACCCCTTGAGTCACTGTCTTGCTTCCCACAAAGCACCTGAAGGCTAGCGGTTGGGAGTGGGACTATAGGGCTTCTTGGCACTGTGTGAGAGACTCACTGGGACCCACTGCACACAGTGACATTTACACATTGTATCCTGACTTTTCTTTTGAATTTATCCTCTTTTCCCAACACGGTGGCCATAGTTGAGACCCCCCTGGACATATGTCCAGGTTCCCCAGGTCACTGCTCCTTCCGGGGGTCTATACCACCCACACCCTTGCCCACAGTGTCTGGGGTAGCTCTGGGCTGAGTGAGCATGTCAGGGTCACCAGCACCTGTGACCAGACCTCCCCCTGCCTGTTCCAGCACCACTGCCGGGCATGCGGGCAGATCTTCTGTGGGAAGTGCTCCTCCCGGTACTCCACCATCCCCAAGTTCGGCATTGAGAAGGAGGTGCGTGTGTGTGAGCCCTGCTACGAGCTGCTGAACAAGTGAGTCTTCTTTGGGGCCCTGGCACAGGAGGGTGGCACACTGTCCATGAAGCCGCCTTCCTGCCTCCTGCCATACATGGAGGTCTGCAGACGCAGGAAGGCCTTTGGCATGTCAGCAAAAGAGGTGCCAAGGCAGCAGTAGCCTCAACCGATGCCCAGACTGCAGGGTGGTGGTGGTGGGGAGACTGGGCATGGTGGCTTGGAGAGTGACTGCTCTAGGCAAGGCAGTTGCTTGGGCTTGTTTTTTTAGTTTGTTTGCGTTTTAACTTTTGGGAATAAACATAGGAAAGTTACAGAAGTGGTACAAACCACCCACATGCATGGGCCTTCACTGGGCACTTCACTGGTTGGTGTTTGGCCACATTTGCGTAGCTGCACATCCTCCCCCACATCTGTGTGTCCCCATGTACTGTGTGATCCCAGCAGTGTCCCTGAAGTGGCTATGCTGAGCTGGGTGCATGTATGTTGGGCTGCCATCCCTCCGCACCCTCCTGCGCCTAGAAGGTGCTCTTAGTTTGCCCTTCATGACTTGGATGTGTCTGAAGAGTCCAGGATCCAGGGCGCATGCCCAGCATGAGCCTGTCTGAGGTTCTCTCATGCTCAAGTTCAAGTGCTGCTGTATTTGTGGGAACCCCAGGGTTGAGGCTGTATCCTCTGGTTGTGGCCCATCTGGAGTCTGGCTGTGCTAATGACATGGTGACAGGCTACTCCCTGAAGTTTCTTTTTGTACGTAGTCAGAACTTGATTTTGGTTTTCTTT